TGTATCTCTGGTCTCACCTGTCAAATGTGATTTTAGGTACTTTCAATGAAAACATGATATCTGTTATCTTATTTAAAACAATTATCTGGGTGAGGGCCTGAGGCTACGCAATGAGTAAGATAGAAGAAGCACAGCTATTGTCCCCTCCGCTGACTCCTGGATCTGTGCCTGGGCTAATTGAAGCCTTGACTTGGTGCAACAGGTGTGCTGAGCTATGGTGCTCCCGGCCTTTGGAGAAGCCAGAGGTCCTGGGCCAGCAGCTTGTGGACAGCAGTAGCCTCATCATGAACCCCTGTGGGCTGTGCAGTTTCATTTTCTATGTGTGCTGACATGTGAAAAAGGCTAGGAGGTGTCTACACTACATAGGTGAAGGGGCTGTACTTTTGCAGTCACTGAGGTGGGAAATAGATTAACACCTCAGAAACAGTTTCAAGAAAGATGGAAAGGATTTGGTCAAGCTAAAAAGGCAGTTAATCCCCTCTGCCAACATCCTCTTCTCAGGGTGCTCTGGTTAAGTCTTTCCCAGAGCCCAGGACCACCCAGCGACATGCCTGGCTCACCTTGATGAGGTTCTCCAGGACAGACTTGCAGATGGCCTTTTTGTCCGTGTTGGCGAGCTCGTGCTTTTTGATAAGCACCCGGTATCGGTTGAAGAAGTCATGGTAGGCCCACCTGGAGGGAAGGTAGAGATGTGTCAGGGGACATGTCCTGCCTCTCAGCCACACAAGGGCCATGGGTGACCTCAGACAGTGCCCCCTAGGGCAAGTGCTGCCTCAGAGCAACAAAAACAGTCCCTAGGGCGTTTTGTCCTCTCCTAAACACCCTAACGGAATTTCAGCATGTTGATTCATGCACCGTGGCTGGAGGCCTGACGGGAAAGGCCGGTTTTAGAGGCCCCTCTTGGAGGACTGACAGAGCCAACACTGATCACAGAGGGCTTCTGCCACCAGCAACTAAGCACCACTCCTCGGCTGCTGCTGAAGAAGTAGGTAACTTAACAGGAATGCTGCTTTGTAAATACTGGTTTTCTTATAAAACTAAGAGGGCTCACTGCAAATTTTTTTTAATGCATAAAAGTACACATTAGGACATAAAAACTGGCCATATCCTAACCTCCTAGAGATAACACTGTTTACATTTTGATATAGCTTAGAAGGAACCATTTGTCTCCAAAAAGTAGGTTTTGCTAATTATTTTATTCCTGATTGTTAGTCTAATGCATGTCCACTGCAGAGAAAACCTCAGGAAA